CGACCCGGTTCTGATCCCATCGGCGCAGCATCACTTTTTATTCACTGTCTCCACTTCCTGTTTTCATCGAGTCGCTCCAGAGTTTCCTGTCCTTCTGAGGACCGGAGAGCCTAAAACCAACAACACTTTGATTAAAGTCATCAGTTTTTACCTCTAAGGAATTTCAGTGATTGTTGGAATTTTGTTCACTTTTGGTTTTAATTTAAATGAATGAATTTCTGGCATCACTAGAGGAAAATCCTCATAAACAGGAAGTCTGTCATACTGAAGGTGACCTTGACCTTGACCTTGACCTTCGCTGCGTTTTCATCAGCGTTTTACACAAACTCTGCAAAATTACAGGATTTACACAATAAATAAAATATTTAGAAATAAGTTAATTACTTTTCTACAGAAAGTCTGAAATTAAATAATTTTGAGCCAATTTAAATGTGTTTAACTTTGATAATTTATCCGTTTTATAACATTAATAAATAATATTTCTTATTAAATCATTAAAACAAACTGGAGCTTTGAAGCAAATGAAACGTTTCAGGATGAATTCATGTTTCCATGTGGCTGCCATGTTGGATTTTAGGATTTATTTTATGGATTGAAAAATAAAAAACAGCTGCACTGAAAGGTTCAGAGAGCCAGAAACAAATATTAATAATGAATGACTTTATTTATTATGCTGCAAAAACCAAGTATTTTTTTTTATCTTGTCTCTTAATAAAACAAGACGACCTTACAGGAAAACTTCTTGAATAAAAAAATCCTAATTCCACTGGCAGATTTGTTCACTGGTAGAAAATTTCATGTTATTAATGGAGAAAAGTATTTTTATCAATATTTCAGATGATTGGCTTTTAAAAAGCTCCTATTTCTTGATGAAAAGTTTTGATTTCTGCTCTCTGATCTTCAGAATCTACATGAAGTAAAACTTGAAGTTTTATGTTTTTGCACCAAGAAGGTTTTGGGTTCAAATATTTCAATCATTTTGGTCAGAGGTCTTCAACATGGGGGTCGTGAGCCATTCGGGGGACAGAGATACTGCAGGGGGGTCAGGATGTTTCACATTTATCAAATAGTTTATTTTTTATTTGGCTGAAAACTACTGAGAACCTCAGATTGGTAAATAAAATCAGTTTTATTTACCAAAGCCAGGAACACTTAATAATGAAAATAATGGATTTATGAAAGCGGATATTAAACGTCTCGGTCCAGTTTGTTCCTCCAGAACGTTCTCGGGTCGCAGTGACCCGTTTCTCTCTGGTCATGTTTAGAGAAGCTGCAGATTTCTACAGAATTCAAATCTGCTGACTCAGTAAAAGTTTCCAGCTTCGTTTCCTCCGGTTCAGTTCGGTTCGGTCGGGTCCGACTCGCCGCCGCTGATCCTTCCTGTTTTCTACAAAAGTCAGATTAAACCATCCGACAGATCAAAGCTTCAGGTTTTATGTTTCAGATTGATAAGCAAACTGGTTTAAAGGGAAACTCAACCAGTTCATTCATGAACATTGAAATAAAACCTGAACAGAAACACAAACTGATTCTTCGCTCATAATTTATCAGACTGACGTCAAAAAAGTGAAGTTGATCAGAAACCAAGAGCCTCTGGTAAACAGCCTGTAGGTTCTGTTAGTGAACATAGTGGTGGCAGCATCATGCTGATGGAACGAAGACCTGGAGGAAAACCTGCAGAAGAGCTGACCCTGGGGTCAAAGTTCAGCTTCCAGCCTGAACATCCAACCAGAGACGTTCTGCTCTAGAATGGGTTGGAACGGCCTAGTCAAAGTCCAGAGCTAAGTGATCTTCTCAGATGTTCATCAGAGAAAACAGGAGAACATTTTGAGGCAGACATATTATTGAGGTTATCTTACAAAATGTGTCATTTTAATGTGGTTCATCAGTTTCATGGATCATAATCAGCTTCTTCATAAATCTAGAGATTCAGTTTGTGTTTCACAATGTGAACAAGATTCCTAATGAACCTCTTAACGTTTATAAATGTTTAATGAGGAAAAAATAGAAAAACTCCGTTGGGTTTTAAAACATGAGCCAAGAAGACTCCTGCAGATACATCTCCCCACCACCAGAGGGCGGTGTTGGCTGGTTAAACAAAATGAATCCATCAGAAAATAAATACAAGTAACTCTTTTATCTTCTTAGTTTAGTTTTCAGTGAATCGGGAGAAGAACTGATCAGACCAGACAGAAAGGGATAAAAAATGGTTCAAGACTTTAATAAAAACAGGAAAAATAACAAAATAACTGGAAGCAGAAGTTCCTGCAGTTCCCGTTGTTCACCAGCAGAGGTCACTGATGGCCCCAATCGTCACACGTGGGGCAGGAGGTGAGAGAGTCTGTCCAGCTGTGTGCAGGCTTCTGATTGGACAGATGGTCCAACGGTGAAAGTCGGGAGACAAGGTCAAACAGAGACATCACACCTGGTCGCTGCGTGGCTGTGCGGAGTTTGGACCCACGTAGATCCACGCAGCTCACAGGTCTGATCTGTTTTCAACAAAACATAAAAAATGATTTATTTTAAGTTTCTGTGTGAAGGGCGGATCTGAGAGATCTGTGTGTGTGTGTCTCTGTGTGTGTGCGTGTGTGTGTGCGTGCGTGCGTGCGTGTGTGTGTGTGTGTTCTGCTGCAGCGCTGCATCACCTCAGGAAAACATGCGTTAATATGCAGCAGAGCTCCGGATTGTTTCAGATTCTGCTGACGTCAGCAGGAGGAGGAGAGACCCCTCGTTGTGTGTGTATACACACACACACACACACACACACACACACACACACACACACACACACACACACACACACACACACACACTGATCTCCCTGAGTGGGTGTGTGTGAGAGATCCTGGTCATTCATTATTTCCAGTTTTTCTCTCCTCTCAGGTTTTTGCTTCACATCCGGCTTAAATGTAATCCAATGATTCTGGTTCTGGTTCCGGTTCTGGAAAAGATTTACAGTCCAAATGTAAACTTTGTTCCAGATCAAAACAGTTTCTGTCCATTCCGACCATGACGGCCCGTTGGAGGAAAACGTAAAGAAAGCTTGTAGTACCAACAGCTGCCTGTGGGGGCGCCGCTGTGTCATCAGATGAGCCTGTTTTCTTCTCTCCTTAATAAATGTCATGTTTCCATCTGTCCTCCAGGAATTGGACTGCAGCGGCTGATTCTCTGTTTTTACACTTTATTATTATTAATTTAGTAACGTTTATGTCACGTTTTACTGGGCCGGCCCAACATTGTTTGGGGCCTCGGGCAGAATGTGACAAAGGCCCCCATTGATTAAGAACATCAGCACTCTCAGCTAAAGAGAGGGGCAATTAAATAACCAACAATAACTGTTTGTTTTTGGCTAACATGTATTTATGAATAAGACAAGTTCAAACACAAAAAATTAAACTCACCAGATTGTAGCTCTGTTAACACAACAATAAAAATATTAAGGTTATTCTTTGGATTTTCACAAAGTAAACTTTTGAATATTAAAAGATTTATTTTTAAAATGTATATTTGTTGAAACTATTGCATATAATGTAAAAGTCTCAGAATAAATTAAACATCAAAACGTTTCCTTTGTGTTTTCACAGTTTATTCTATATTATTTTAAAATCCTTTTTGTAAAACAATTTAATGCAACTAATGACTGAAGTTATGAGTTATGGGCCTAAATATGTGGTTTCAAACTATTATTGGTAAATGATTATTATGTACAAACACTGTTTATTTAAATAATGAAAAATAATCTACTGCTGCCAATACAATTAACACATTTTAGTTAATTTAATGAAATACATTCATGTTCCATATTAATTACTAAAGTTCAATCCAACTGTTTATTAATAACAATAATTTGATTTGTAGAAGATGAATCATAAATTAGTCTGTAGTTTGTAATGGTTCCATGAGTCAAACTGAAGGCCTGTGGGCCAAATCCGGCCCATCATAATGTGTTTATGTGGCCCTTAAGGCTCCAGAGGGCCACATAAACACAACTTCAAGACCAGACTGGAGTGCTTAAATATTATTCTGTCAGTCAAATTAAATCAGTTTCATTTATATAAAGTGCCAAATTAGAATGTGGAAAATTGTGAAATATGATTTAATTTTAGAGAAACTGCAACAGTTTGATAATAGATAATTTTATCAATCCATTTTGCAACAACTGGCCCTTTAAAGACCTGCATGATGTTGATGATTCCAAAACAGAAATTTTTTCTTCTGAACAACAGTTTATGATCCTGTTTATTTAATATAAAAATATAATTTCTCTAGGGAAAATAAATACAAACAGCTGAATTTTCCTGCATTGAAAACGATGGGAGAGCAGTAGCCTTGTTTCAGCCAGCTGACTGGCAGTGCTGTGTGACTCTAGGATCCTTAGAGACTCCAGGTTTCTCTGCAGCTTCAGAAAAAGATTTAAAACCAGGGAAAAATCAGGAAAACCAAGTAGTGAGTGAAACAACCCTAAGCCTGCAGAAAATAGAACAATTTAGATTCAGGGAAAAAAACATCAAATTACGAGAAAACTAGAAAAATATCCAGCAGGGAGAAACCAGAACCGGAACATTAAGCAGAACCAGAACCAACACTCTGATCTCATGAATGCAGAAACTAAAACCTTCTGCTCTCAAATGTTTTTTTCTCTTTTCTCTTCAAAACTGATTTTTAATTTTCACATAAAAATCAGTGAAAATTAAAATATTCAGATCATTTTAATTCTAAATCTGATTTATAGTTTAATTTATTTCCAGCCTCATATTAAATGAATGATCCCTTTAAGTTTTTATAATGTTGGTTGTTTGTCATAAATTAACAGATTTTGGTTATTTTTGTTTGTGACTCAGTAAATATGATGTTTATTCCAATCGGAACATTTTAGTCATCAGTTCATCTTAAAATAAACCATAAAAAGGGAAACGAGCCTAAAATATGAGGGATGATGGAGGGAGGAGCTTTCTCTCTGTCTTTTCTTTTCTCACTCGGGACGCGTAAAGCGGAGTGAGAGCTGAGCTGGAGAGGAGAGCAGCAGCCCGGAGACTCTGCAGAGGAGCAGAGGAAGAGGAGCAGAGGAAGAGGAGCAGAGGAAGAGGAGCAGAGGAAGAGGAGCAGAGGAAGAGGAGCGGGCGGCCAGCAGCGGGGCTCCGCCGCGTGGATTTTGCTGTCTGCGCCTGTTTTTTTGCGTTTTTTGCGGGGAATGTGCGGCTCCTCCTCTGCGGCTGTCCAACTTTGTGAATCCGTCTCCCGGTGAGGCGGAACCAGAGGATGGGAGTCTCCTGGTCCTCCAAGTGCCTCTCAGTCCTGCTGGCTCTTCACCTCGGTGAGCACAAACTTCACATCTTTTCTGTCTCGTTTCTCCTGCGCAGAGAAACTCTGGTCCTGTTTTCACTGGATGTTTGGTGAATTTATGAAAAATGAATATTTTGTTTCCTCCAGTTTGGCTTCAGCTCGTATGAAGCAGCGGAGGCTCGAGAGGCTCCAACGGGCTTCACGTTTACAGTGTGTGTGTGTGTGTGTGTGTGTGTGTGTGTGTGTGTGTGTGTGTGTGTGTGTGTGTGTGTGTGTGTGTGTGTGTGTGTGTGTGTGTGTGTGTGTGTGCGTTAACAAGGGGGATGCCCCCTCCATATCTCCTCCTCCTCTTTACTCCTTTCTCGTCCTCTTCCTCCTCTTCCTCCTCTTCCTCTCGTCCCAGGCTGAAGATGTTTTGATGTTTTGTTGTTTATTCATCATAAAAACGTTCAAATGTGAAAATTAAAATCTGCTTCGATCTTGGTTGAACTATTTTTGTTTTTACATTTTACAATCGAAGATGGATTTTGTTTCGTCAGATGAATAACAGGTAGAAGTCCAGGTATTAGACGGTGGATTCCAGGGTTTAGTCGGTGTTCATCCCGCCGCAGTGCGACTGTCCGGAAATAAGAACACCAGAAAAATAATATTATGAATCTAAATTTAAATCTACAGCAAAACACAATTAATAAAAACATGTAATTTCCCTCAGAGCGCGCGCGCGTTGGTGCACGCGCCCGGCTCGTGCACGGCTTCACTCCTTCTTCTGTTTGTTGTAATAATAATAATAGTAATATTAATAACAATAACCGTATATCTGACTGCTCTGTCGCCGAGCGGGCCATGCTGGGCCTGCCGGCTCGGTTCGGCTGCAGAACCGAACCGGGTCCCGCGCGCTGCGGCTCGGGACGCTTCGGTTTCAGTTCAGCTGATTTTCTGTTGCGTAATGGAGAGAAGAACCGAATTATTCGGTCCCAATGAATCCGAATCCTTTTGTTCAGATTCAGGAGGAAAAGAATCAGAAACGAGAATCAGTTCGACCCGTTTGGTTCTTTGGTTCCGGTGGAACGGGACTGAAGCTGCGGGACGATGATCGGGACGATGTGCGGGACGATGTGCGGGATTTGCGCAGAGGGATCGAATAAAATCGACCGAATGTCCTGGATTAGAAATCAGCCCTGATCGGGACTGATCCGGTTCTCTGAGTCCGGATCCCCGCAGTCTGGTTCGGTTCCGATTCGGCCTCAGCCGAACCTTTAAAATACATGAAAACGGAGAAAATTCAGTTTTACATGGAAAAACTGTTAAAACCTGAAGCTTCATGTGGATTTAATGACTGAAAGAAAAATGAAAAATGATCATGTTTTCACAGAAAAAGAAAGAAAAAAATCCAAACAGGGAAAAAAATGAATTTAAGCAAAAATATTAAAATATCTGAATGTTTATCATGCAGGAAAATATCGCTGTGCATTAATGGTGGGTGTGTCCGCGTGGAACACGCTGCTGTGTGTGTGTGTGTGTGTGTGTGTGTGTGTGTGTGTGTGTGTGTGTGTGTGTGTGTGTGTGTGTGTGTGTGTGTGTGTGTGGTGAATGAGTGCTCGATGGGAGGCGCGAACGAAAATAAAATCTAAACGAATAAATAAAGCCCGTGCGCGCCCCCGCGGTGCGCGGGACCGTCTTGGTTGGTTTCATTGGACGGAAATAAATGGGATTTTTTTTCCAACATTCCCAGTTTGATTCTGGAAGCAGGAGAGAGAGAGAGAGAGAGAGAGAGAGAGAGAGAGAGAGAGAGAGAGAGAGAGAGAGAGAGAGAGAGAGAGAGAGAGAGAGAGAGAGAGAGAGAGAGAGAGAGAGAGAGAGAGAGAGAGAGAGAGAGAGAGAGAGAGAGAGAGAGATCAGGATCTGTAACTTCAGAAGAAAAATGAAATATTTTCTACAGATTCATTAAACATTAAAGTTCTGAGGAAAATTCAGTAAATGAACCCTTTATTATCATTGTTATAATAATAATAATCATAATAATTGTTAATATTATTATTATCATTATGAACACGCTGCAGGATTCCTGCGGTTGCAGCGACAGATGATGACGTAATGCCTTCACTCATTCATCCACTTTAATGTCTAATAAAATGACGTCACATGCAGCAAACATGAGAAACATGTTTTAAAAAGGGATTTATTGAGATTTAAACATTTATTAATATTTGTTCTAAAACTATTAACATTAGAAATTAGATAAAATGATCATTTTTAGTTTATTGAGAATCTAACATTCATCTCCTTTATGCCGTTTCTTCACTCTAAAGCCTCCAAATTCACATTTATTAATGGTTTCATTTTCTTTTAATGTTTAGCAGAAAATTATTTAAACTTTATGTTGATTTTTCTGTATTTTTATTTTAACACTAAAATGAACAACTTCACACAGAAATAATGATAAATTAAAAATAATCATGTTTTCAAACATAAATTTAATTTAATTAATTTCACTGTAAATAATTAATAAGCTGAGCCTCAATTTAACGACCTGCACTAAAAACTCTCTAATTAGAGCAAATTAATTAAAGTGACAGAAGTTCATTATTTTGGCCGTTTGTTCATAAATACAAAAATCTGTAAAGTGTCACAATAAGGTTAAAATATAAAATATAAATCATTAAAATCATTCATTCGGAGCTAGAAATATTTTTTCTCCCTTAAGTAACACAAAGAAAAATTGAATTAGAATCAAATGTTGAAATGAATCAAAATCCTGAAACTTTAATGTTTCACTTTATCATCCTAGAAATAAAAAATAATAATAAAAAGATTCACAGCGGATTAAAAATAATTCAATAAGTGAAAATTGTATTTAAATAAAATATAAGCTTCATTGAGTTTTTCCTAAACGAACAAAGTTTTATAGCATAAAACATTTTGAACATTTTAAAACAATCAAAAAGGTTTTAAAATTTGAACCAAACAAAGAAGTTCAATTACAAAGAGTAAAAATATTAAAACATTTGAAGAGGCGAATAAATACTGAAAAATAATTTTTTGCCTCAATTAGCCAAAATGTTTTAATAATTAAATATAATAAATTAAAATATAATTTAGAAACAGTAAAAAAATATTCAGCAACAACAAAAAAAGAGAAAATATGAAGAGTGAAAAATGATTTGTAATGTTTCATAAATCTGTGATTCCCTGAACTTACATTAAAATTAAGAAATTTTAATATCTGAGCTTCAACTATTAATAAGTGAAATTAATATTTATTGATACTGATCAGATCCTCGATCAGCTGATCAGTTTTTCTTCTAACAGAAACTTTTTCTCTGAAGCGTCTCAACAACAAACGTCCGTTTTAAAACCTCACTTCCTGTTAAAAATGTTTAAAATATATGAAAAAAAACTTTATGGATTTGGATCAGTTTTACTTTTGACATCAGAAAAATAGAAATCTGTCCGAAGATTTAAAACCTTTAAAACGTTTAAAATATTTATAACCCTTTTCTGGTTTATTTTTGTCATTTCCAGTTAGCAACCAGTTAGCAACCAGTAAGCAACCAGTTAGCGACCAGTTAGTGACCAGTTAGCGACCAGTTAGTGACCAGTAAGCGACCAGTTAGTGACCAGTTAGCGACCAGTTAGCAACCAGTAAGTGACCAGTTAGTGACCAGTTAGTGACCAGTTAGTGACCAGTTAGCAACCAGTTAGTGACCAGTTAGCGACCAGTTAGCAACCAGTTAGTAACCAGTTAGCGACCATTTAGCAACCAGTTAGTGACCAGTTAGCAACCAGTTAGTGACCAGTTAGCAACCAGTTAGCAACCAGTTAGTGACCAGTTAGCAACCAGTTAGCAACCAGTAAGCGACCAGTTAGCGACCAGTTAGCAACCACTTAGTGACCAGTTAGCAACCAGTTAGTGACCAGTTAGCAACCAGTTAGTGACCAGTTAGCAACCAGTTAGTAACCAGTAAGTGACCAGTTAGCGACCATTTAGCAACCAGTTAGTGACCAGTTAGTGACCAGTTAGCGACCAGTTAGCAACCACTTAGTGACCAGTTAGCAACCAGTTAGTGACCAGTTAGCGACCATTTAGCAACCAGTTAGTGACCAGTTAGTGACCAGTTAGCGACCAGTTAGCAACCACTTAGTGACCAGTTAGCAACCAGTTAGTGACCAGTTAGCAACCAGTTAGTAACCAGTTAGTGACCAGTTAGTGACCAGTTAGCGACCAGTTAGCAACCACTTAGTGACCAGTTAGCAACCAGTTAGTAACCAGTAAGTGACCAGTTAGCGACCATTTAGCAACCAGTTAGTGACCAGTTAGCAACCAGTTAGTGACCAGTTAGCGACCAGTTAGCAACCAGTTAGTGACCAGTTAGCGACCAGTTAGCAACCAGTAAGCGACCAGTTAGCGACCAGTTAGTGACCAGTTAGCGACCAGTTAGCAACCACTTAGTGACCAGTTAGCAACCAGTTAGTAACCAGTAAGTGACCAGTTAGTAACCAGTAAGCGACCAGTTAGCGACCATTTAGCAACCAGTTAGTGACCAGTTAGTAACCAGTAAGTGACCAGTTAGCGACCAGTTAGCAACCAGTAAGTGACCAGTTAGTGACCAGTTAGTGACCAGTTAGCGACCAGTTAGCAACCACTTAGTGACCAGTTAGCAACCAGTTAGTAACCAGTAAGTGACCAGTTAGCGACCATTTAGCAACCAGTTAGTGACCAGTTAGCAACCAGTTAGTGACCAGTTAGCGACCAGTTAGCAACCAGTTAGTGACCAGTTAGCGACCAGTTAGCAACCAGTAAGCGACCAGTTAGCGACCAGTTAGCAACCACTTAGTGACCAGTTAGCAACCAGTTAGTAACCAGTTAGTGACCAGTTAGCAACCAGTTAGTGACCAGTTAGCAACCAGTTAGTGACCAGTTAGCGACCAGTTAGCAACCAGTTAGTGACCAGTTAGCAACCAGTTAGTGACCACTTAGTGACCAGTTAGCAACCAGTTAGCAACCAGTTAGTGACCAGTTAGCAACCAGTTAGTGACCAGTTAGCGACCAGTTAGCAACCAGTTAGCGACCAGTTAGTGACCAGTTAGCGACCAGTTAGTGACCAGTTAGTGACCAGTTAGCAACCAGTTAGCGACCAGTTAGTGACCACTTAGTGACCAGTTAGCAACCAGTTAGCAACCAGTTAGTGACCAGTTAGCAACCAGTTAGTGACCAGTTAGCGACCAGTTAGCAACCAGTTAGCGACCAGTTAGTGACCAGTTAGTGACCAGTTAGCAACCAGTTAGCGACCAGTTAGCAACCAGTTAGCAACCAGTTAGCGACCAGTTAGCAACCAGTTAGTGACCAGTTAGCAACCAGTTAGCGACCAGTTAGTGACCAGTTAGTGACCAGTTAGCAACCAGTTAGCGACCAGTTAGCGACCAGTTAGCAACCAGTTAGCAACCAGTTAGTGACCAGTTAGCGACCAGTTAGTGACCAGTTAGCAACCAGTTAGCGACCAGTTAGTGACCAGTTAGCAACCAGTTAGCGACCAGTTAGCAACCAGTTAGCAACCAGTTAGCGACCAGTTAGCGACCACTTAGTGACCAGTTAGCAACCACTTAGCGACCAGTTAGCAACCAGTTAGCAACCAGTTAGTGACCAGTTAGCGACCACTTAGTGACCAGTTAGCAACCACTTAGTGACCAGTTAGCAACCAGTTAGCAACCAGTTAGTGACCAGTTAGCAACCAGTTAGCAACCAGTTAGTGACCAGTTAGCAACCAGTTAGTGACCAGTTAGTGACCAGTTAGCAACCAGTTAGCGACCAGTTAGTGACCAGTTAGCAACCAGTTAGCAACCAGTTAGTGACCAGTTAGCAACCAGTTAGCAACCAGTTAGTGACCAGTTAGCAACCAGTTAGTGACCAGTTAGTGACCAGTTAGCAACCAGTTAGTGACCAGTTAGTGACCAGTTAGCAACCAGTTAGTGACCAGTTAGTGAGTGAGCCAGTTAGCAACCAGTTAGCCGTTTAGCCCAAATATTTGTGTATTTTTGTGACTCAAAACTTTTAACAGAAACTTTGCAGATTTTTATATATTAAATATGTAAAACATTTTAATGAAAATGTGATCGTCTGCCTTGAGCAAAGCAGCCAATCCAGGAGCTCCATTCCGTTTCCTTGGCTCTGATTGGCTGCAGCTCCAAGAGCAGACACTAGCTGGTCTGCTAGTGCTCCAGCGGTTCCACTGAGTGTAACCCTAACCCTAACCTAACCTACCCTCAACCCATGTTTGGTGTTTTAATGATCAAAACAATCAGAAATAATCAGCTTCACCAGAATCAGGTATTAATTCTTCACACAGCGCCACCTGCTGACAGAACAGAGCAGCTTTGTGTCTTTAAATAAACGCCCCTTCAAATTAAACCGTTTAGAATTCTCTAGCTTTTATTTTGAAACCACTTCCTGTTACTGTTTTGTAGCCCCGGTGTTCCTCAGGGAGCCTCAGGGAGTTTCAGATGTTTTCCTGATGCTGCATGCAGGACGCCCCCCTCCCTGACCTCTGACCTCTGCTAACAGCCGTGTCTCATCCTACACGTCAAGCCGTGTTGGTTCATCATGTAGCGGAGCGGAACCGGACAGCAGCCGGTTCTTAACCAAACCAATCAATCAGAACGATCCGGAGCTTAACGAACCACGAGCGCACTGTACGTCTGTGTGTGTGTGAGTGTGTGTGTGTGTGTGCGTGTGTGTGTGTGTGTGTGTGTGTGTGTGTGTGTGTGTGTGTGTGTGTGAGAGGGTGTGTGTGTGTGTGTGTGTGAGAGTGTGTGTGTGTGTGTGTGGTGTCAGTGAACGAGGAGGCGGCCGACCCGCCTGGTTACCCGTCGGGTCCTGAACATCCAGCTGAGCTGCTGAATGTCTCAACATGAGCGAGTCGGTTCTGATCCCGAGAGCCGGTCAGACCGGGTCAGAACCCAGAGAGACCCGACCGGGTCAGAACCAGTAAAATGCTCCAGTTACTGATAGAAAATGTCCAGGCAGAACATGGAGTAAAGGTTTTTCAGTAGATGAACATCATCCCTCCATCCATCATTCATCCATTCATCATTCATCCATTCATCCACTGAAACTTCAAAGCTTCTGCTAAGGATAATAAAACCTTTTTTATGCCTTTGTTTCTTTCATTTGTCCAGATAAATTTCAAATTTCATTTCAGCTTGTAAAAGCATCTGGGAGTGAAAACTTTCACAGGTTCTGTTTCGTCTTTTTACCAACATCTTTCTGACGGATTCCAGGAAGATGTTGGTTTTTCTCTGACGGTTTTTCCCAGCATCCTTCACTCTCTACTCTGATAACTCTGTTTTTATTCTCTGAAGGAAATTCATCTTTTTACAGACGAAAACCTCTGAGTTCAGAACTGTTATTATGTCTAAGTGATTAACAATCAATGCGTGTTTTCAACCTTTGACATAAAACAGAAAATGACTCAATAGGTCAGCGATCCATAAAATGTTTTCTGTTAAATTAGACAGATTCATTCCTGATCAAAGTTTGATCGTTGTGTCTCAGCTCCAGTGTTGCTGCAGACGATGTTTTAACAGTTTAATGTTTAAACGGTTTGGTGTTTTAAGTGTTTGGTGTTTTAACTGTTTGGTGTTTTAAGTGTTTGGTGTTTTATGCTCTCGTCTCTCGCAGTTCCCCTGCTGCTGCAGACGGTTCTGGTCGGTGCTGCTGAATGCGACTCAGTGTTCAAAGGTTTCTCCAACTGTCTGATTCGGTTGGGGGACGAAATGGCCAACTATCCCCAGGACCTGGACGACAGAGAGAGTCTGAACAAGATCTGCACGTAAGTTCAGCTCAGACACACCAGAACCAGAGATGACCTCCTGACCTCACTAGAAACATGTCAGACACCCAGAAATACTTTCACATTTAAAGTTTATCTGATTGAAAGAAGCCAGACTTCCTGTTATTGATTCATTAAACTGTTTGACAGTGAAAAGGCGTAAAGGTAAACCCAGAACCACCTTAAAGCTGCTGCTGGTTCATTTACGCTTTAAATCTCTGAGCCCAAGATTTCAGTTTAAAACATTTAACTGAGATTCTGATGTCAGAATAAAGAAAACAGATTCTAGTTATCAGTCAGAGACGCTTCAGATCAAACAATATGAGGACAGGGGGGTTACCCCCCATCACCCAGGGGGTGGGGGGGGCACCAGATGGCAAACTGCCCCCCATGCCCCCCATGCCCCCTCCCCCCTCCCCAGTGACTCAAACACATGATTTTTTAATGCAGTGACGGCTCCATCACAGAGCTGCTGAGGCGTGGCAGGAGGAGGAGTGTGGGGTGTTAATACGCCTCCTCACACACACACACACACACACACACACACACACACCACACACACAAACACACACAGGCGTTAATTGCTCTGAGATGTATCTTGGACACGGCTCGGGTCAGCAGGTCAACATCAATAAGAGCAGATTGGAAGATTGGATTAGATACGGTGTGTGTGTGTGTGTGTGTGTGTGTGTGTGTGTGTGTGTGTGTGTGTGTGTGTGTGTGTGTGTGTGTGTGTGTGTGTGTGTGTCAGCACGCGTCGCTCAGCCGGCTGGTGTCACATTTACATGAACTGCGCTGCGGAAAGCGATGAAGAGGAGATGATTAAAAAGGAGGAAGACAAAGAAAATGCAGCAGAAAATATGCAGGCAAATAAATAGGAGGCAGAAAATGAGGCCAGAGAGTAAAAATATATTTAGACGCGAAATTGTGAGGCGGACGGCGGAGTATGAATAAAACATTAAACCAGGAGAGACAGAGAGAAACTAAGAAACTGGATTTTATCCCGGTTTTTGACTCGACTCAGGATTTAATGTGAACCAAAGATGGGATTTAAATCAAGCAGCTGAAACGTCTTGAACGGCCAGCAGGGGGCGAAAGGACCAGAACGTCACGCAGCCAATCGCCTCACTAAGTAGCTTTAATGGAGTCACTGGTTGTGTTGGGCCTCCAGGGGGCGCTGTGGCGCAACACCACAGCGCCCCCTGGAGTCACTCACTGAGCTGCTCTACGATCTCACAAACACTTCCTGGATTCTAACTGGGATTATAACATTAATCTGAGTTTACGACACGTAAAAATAAAATAATCAGCTTCTTAACAGAGAGTTCAACGTGATTTTCACCAAAGTTATTTGGTTTGTTGCAGAAACAATAACTTTTCCCCAAATTCCAACTTTGCTGTAAAGCCTCAGTCATCAGCGTAGAATAAATTAGTCCAGGTTTTCATCAACAAAGCTGCAGTTTTCCAACACTAAAGTTATTTTTTCACTAAAAATCTCATCATTGGACAGAATAATCCAGAACATGGAACCAGAATAATCCAGTTCCAATGGTTCTGTAATCGGACCAGTAAGGTGTTACTGGTGTCGAGGCTCTGACCAGTCTCTGGTGTTTGGTTTAGTTTTTCTTTCTGAAATGTTTGAATTAAACGTTTAAAGTGGCGCCACTGATCCAGTCAGACCAGAACCATCCGGATCTCATTAGAGGTTCAAACGGATTAGAGCTGAATTATTCATGTTTAGATTAAATATTCTCAGCTGAAGTGGCGCTGCCAGCGTGAACTAGTTCACTCGTCAATATTTTATTAGGTGGAGGTTCCTAAAATATTTTAAATGTGTGAAGATGAGGTCGTCATGTTCGCTCCGTTTCTGTTTGAAGGCGATAAAGTTTCACCAAAACTGCTTTAATTTGAGATGTTAGAGAAATTCAATCTAATTGATTTTTAATCGTATTGTAGTTAGACTGCAGTTTATTGTTTGTTGAGTCTCCTCAGCGATCTGAATAAAATGTTTTTAGATTGTAATATTTATGATCTGCCTCCTACATTATAGCACTTTAAAAACACAGCATCTCTCCGCTGCTGAGCCACAGTCTCTGAAATGTGTTTCTGTGCTGAAGGGAAACTGCAGTAAGTTGGACTCCATCAAGTCGATGAAGTCCAGAAAGTTTTCATTGCTGGCTTTGGATCGGCCACCAGCCTGGGCTCTGAGTGGTTTAGCGGCGGCTTCCCACTCCAGTCAAAAGACCTGCAGTGCTAATGGTTTCTGTTTTCTCTCGCCAGTTACTGGGATAACTTCCATTCCTGTGCCACGACGGCGCTGGCCGACTGCCAGGAGGGGGCGACGGACCTCTGGGAGAAACTGAAAAAGGAGTCCCGCAACCTGAATTTCCGTGGGAGTTTGTTTGAACTGTGTGGCGGCGGAAACGGCGCGGCCAGATCCGCCAGGGGCCTCGGCCTGCTGCTCACCGCCCTGCCCACCATACTGACATGGCTGGCGTTTTAACAGGAAGAGAAGAAACACAAAGTTACAGAAGTAAAACACAAGAAGATACGTCCAACTGATAAAACATAATTTAGAAACAGTGAAAGCTACTCCTCCATACTGAAAACACCACGTCCAGGACCGAGTTTGCATTCATCAGAAGAAAACAGCAGAATTGGATCTTTGGTGGCGCTTCGGCAGCCTGGTTGGCCAGAGGGAGAGACAGCTCGTCCAATCACACGCCACCTCACCCAGAGGTCAATAACATGAAATATTCAACACGCCATTGACCTGAAATGAAGACAATGATGAAATTTTGATGGCAACTCGCCAACTTACAATCGTGGAATTACATCGTATTAAAGTCAGCCATGAATTATTGATGCTGAGTCGGCCAGGCCTCACCGGCCGGCGCGGTGCTGACACGCCATCAGGACGGATAGTCGGGCCGCCATTTAGCCTGAGGAACTAATTCATGTGACTCCACACAATCAATAAAACAAGCCACGGCATCGAGCCGGTCCAGAGCCGCCGGTCCAGAGCCGCCGCTACGGATGGCTTCTCGTTTTTAATGGCAGCAGGTTGACTCAGCAGCAGACGGGACGTTAGCCAAATGTTTGCTGTGCTAGCGGTTAGCATGCAGAGGCTGGGGTCACAC